TCAATGTGACCAGCACCAGCAGAGATTGCACAGACCCCATACTGGTGTCCCACTGATCAAAGACCTAGCCTTTATGGGCCACCTTTCAGGGGTCACCTCCACCCTTCCTTCTGCAATGATCTTATTTACCACCTGGAGCCACAGAGTATATGGCCAGTATGGGTATAAATTTGTGATTGCTATAATGCGAGCTTGTTTACTGGATTGGACATATACTCACTCTACAGAGAGAGGATGCCAATAAGCCATTCCAAGTTACTTGCAGCTTGATAAAGTTTATACCAATACAGGCTAGAATGAGAAGAGAAACACAAGCAAAACTTCCAGTCACCAAAGCCTGTAAACTAATTATTTCTGGAAGTTACATGTGAATAGATTTTTGTAATTTTACTCTAAAACCCAGAACATCATTAATTCATCACTAATATCAGTGTTGCATCAGTGTTTCCATCAAGCATCTATACCCTCCAGAATAAGCTAACTATATTATTATATGCTCCAGAACAAGATAACTGTATTATTAACTCATGTACTGCACAAAAGAACATAGTCCCAGGCACACAGCCTCTTTAGGCATTTCTGGGAAGTACTTCCCTATAACAGGAAAGTTCACGCTCATGTCAGGAAACGTTTGTGAAGATGAGGTTTAGCACAATAAGCAAAACAGGAGAACTCACTGTGAGTGGAGCAGGGTAGTAACAGCAACAACTCCCAGCAGTCATCCAACAAGTGTCAGGCAACACAGACATCACATCAGAGGGCAGCCTAGGAAACGCACACAACAACTCAGGAGCAGGACTAAGGGCAGCCATTCTTGTAGCCCATCTTAAAAAGAGCTAAACTCCCTGGGCTGAGCTGAAGTAGAGCCCCTAGTAAGAGGATTTGGGTAGGTTCCCAGGACAGTGAGGGCAATCAAAACCTGTTAGGGCTCTCACAACCCTCACCTGCAGCCAAGTGAATTTTTAGTCCTACAAATAGGGAAATGAAGCATGCAGTGTCAGGTGCATGGGGAACTAACTGAAACAGAATCTGGATTGCTAAATCTTTCCCATTAGCTGTGCAGTGCTTTATAAGGGGCAATCACAATAATCTCTTTCCTCTGCAAAATGTCTTTCCAAAAAGTTCAGCACACTTGTTTTATACAAGGGCTCCTCATCAGACACAGACATCTCCTGCTTTCAACAAAATCAACTAAGGCTTGTACCATTCCTTGCAACGTGAGGAACAGCCTGACTCAATGCCCAGACGCTACCAATACAAGTGCACGCAAGCCCACCCTAGCTCTGACAAAGATGTCTTATTGCAGCTTCACAACTGAAACTGTCCCTGGACATCTCATCCATCTGCACTATAATCCTTCCCTTATTTCTTCATCCTTCTCCTTACAAGCCATCCCTGTGCCTCCTGCCCCCTCCTCCGCATACACCCACTGCTTGCTTTTCTGTCTGAAGGTCACTTCAAGATAGCTGAATACTGCAGTGGCAGCACTGCACTCAACTGCTGAGGCCAGGTCCCAGGAGACAAAACGGAACTTGGCAAAATTCAGGAAGCTGCTGTTTTGAAAAGAGCGTATGTTCATTCAGGAGTCATGGAGTCTGTTCAACTCAATTTTAATAGCTACAAGGGAAAATAATGCACAATGGTTGTTTTGCTGATGGTTTCTTCCTTTTTTTTTCATTTTACATAACAAAATTGGCTTCTGGTACATGTAATTATTTCTATCTCCATCCTGCATGGTACAAGGTGATACAGCTACACAAGAGGTTGTGATTACTTGCAGATGGTTTCCAAACTGAACTACAATGCTAAATGAAGCTAACTTCAAATGGAAATAACTACAGCTGCTTGGAGCGCCTCCTGGATGCTGGAGGCACTTTAAAGTCATGACACAAAAAGGACCAGTGCCTCTGAGGAGCTGAGAGCCTCCCATGAGTTTCAGGGGAGCCAAAGGAGGCTCACAGACCTTATAAACACACACATTGCAACTGTGACCAAGTACTGACTTTTGCTAGCTTGTGTCAGAAGTTTCTGTGCCAGAGGAACATGCAAGGTCTTACGTGGAGCTCCAACAAATGCTGTAAAATGTTTTAGAGAAGAATCCTCTATTTTTTGAAGTTCACTTTGAAAACACACACAAAGCTGATGCTGGGATGCTTTTAATCAGGACTCAGTGTTCCCATTTGGGTTTTTTCCTTGCCAGTATATCAGCTGTCATTTCTATTGGAAAGTTTCAGAGAAGTGTTTAGCAGCATTTCAGGACTAGAAGATGGGTGTGGATGGCTTCTCTGCAGCCAAGGCAGGAGCGGGGTTCTAATCCAGTCCTCTCTAGCAGTAGTGGGCCCTCCTGCAGCTGAGTATTAGCCTGGTACCAGGCAGCTCTTCAGTTCAGATAGGTAGTAGCCCCACAAGCCATCAGAAAAAGGATTTTACTACTATGCAAGGTTTGACACAGCACCCTTAGAGAATAAGGAGCTTTTCTCTAAACCCTTACCTGAGCAGGTTCCCTTTCAAGTGAAGAACAACAACCTAAACCTCTGTAGCAGCTCCCATCCTACGATGCCAGGCATCTGCCTGTTAGATACCCTGCTAGGACGAAAACTAAGCACTGCAAAATCCTATCTTGGACACCGCTTGGTGTTCCATATCCCCTTCTGTGATACAAAAGTTTAAGCTGTCCTCTATCTCACCAGAGCATGGTGGGCTTACATACATGAATTGTAAGGAATACATGATAATGGGGATTGGGAACCCCCAAGAAAGTGAATTCATACAAGCCAACTGTCAATGCATCCAGGGAACTTGCACATCTTCACTGCTTGCTATGGACTTTTAGCAAGAATCTGAATACAGATTCTCCATTTATGAAATCTAGATGTATTATGTAGACTATTACCTTGGTATTTTTATCTTACCTAAATCCCCCAATGTACGTATGTATGACTAACAACGTTAATTATAATGGGATTGGTTTTAGAGCAAGTAGAAATTACCTCACAAGACTGAAAACAGGAATGTTCTCTGTGCTATAAAACTTGGGAACTGCACTTCAGGGTGTGAGTATTTCCATAAGGCAGCAATTACACTGTCAAAAGCTGACCCATACGTAAGCTGGAATAATTTGTGTATGTGTGGGGAAGGGAATTCAGAGATATCTGACTGGAACAGGAATGGGCATTATTATAGGAAGCAATCAGGAAACTTTTTTTATTTAAAGAGTTTGATGCTGAGCTACAGATTGTTGCTGCTATAAAGAATGGCCTCAGAATTCAAGGCTGAGCTTTTGAAAAGCATTTGCTATAACAAAAAACCTGCAAAAAGACAGGTTGACAAGACATAGCATAGTGTGATACCCTTTCTCCTCCCTAACTCTATTAAGATTTGGCAACACTATAATGCCAGCATATTTCATGACTTGACTTGAAAAATAAAAACCAAATGATTTTGTCATCGTTATCACTGCCAAGAGACACATAATTTCCGATCCTTCACTGGATACCAGCATACTTCAACTTTATTCTGCAGCTAACAGCAAGGACTGGAACATGGGAACATGGGAACTGGTATCACACATGATCCCATGCCGTGCGCCAAAGGGAGAAGCCAAAGTTGCAGAGAAAATAAAGACCAGCTTCTTAACATGGTTTCTGTAGGAAGCAGCTCTGCATTACAGAGAGGGGTTTTGGGATAAAATCCTTGTGTCACTCATTTTTCTTCATAGAATAGTCTGGGTTGGAAGGGACCTTCAAAGGTCATCTAGTCCAACCTCCCTGCTATGAGCAGGGACATCTTCAATTAGATCAGGTTGCTATACATCCCTTCCACACCTAAAGCATTCAGAATTACTATATCAGCCCTTATACTGGTGATGCTCTCTTTATAACTTTGCCATGACATGCTACCAAACAGAATGGAAACTGAAGCACAGCTGGGAAAGTTGAGCATTCTGCTATATCAAAAGGCAAAATTTGATGGAATGATACCTGGACAATGAGTTTAGACTGTTTTCTTGCAGGATGTTACTAGTCTATAATTAGAGGTAGTTGAAAAGAAGAAGAAAAAAAAAGAAGTATGTGTTCCTTTCCAGTGAACAGTAAGGTATCTGTACATATGAATCAACCATATGCATAATTCATACTCTGAACCCCTCCTGGTTGTAGAGGCCTGATCCATATGAGAAAGTTGCAGCGATTTAACCAAAGAAGGGTTTTTTAATTGACCCTATGGACAAAGTAATACACACGACCATTTGCATTCCTTTGATTCATCAAATAAGCATATTGCAGCTAAGAGAAATAAATCACATGACATCATCTCTGGAAAACACTTGATCAAAGTGGCTTTTGAAAAATCCAAGTGAAACGGGTGCAGCTTTGGTTTGTAGATTAGTTACCCTGCATTAGACTCCCCCTTCCATGAAGACTTTACTGTATATGCATCTTAGCTGGCTCTCATATGAGGCATGTGCTTGTACATTTTTAAAATTGGCAATATTTCTCTATTTATTTTTAACCCAGGTATTTTTAAGTGCACCATGCATAACTAAAAGCACTGAAATAAGAGTTAAAACTAAAAATGAGAGTAAATAAATGAGAGAAACCTTCCCATTCTAATTCAAGAGGCTACTCAGAAAGCCTTTGTATGACTGAGAACATCCATTTCTCTTCCAGAAATCTATCATGAAAGAATCTGCTTTATCTTCAAAAAGAATAACTGCCAGATTCAATTTCACTTACAGTCTTGAAAATGCAGAATTCCTCCACTAAATTTAGTGGCACTAAACCACATACACCTAGACACAAAATCAACAGTTAGATGGAGAGGTTTGACAGGGGAATACACCATATCTACAATATGGGCAACTCATGGAGCACAGAAAGACTTGGCCAAACTCGGCACGTTTCCAAAACTACTAGAAAAAGAAAGCGGGTTTGGCATGGCTGGGAAAGCATCTTCAAATAAACAAACAAAAAAGAGGAAGGCACTGTTTTGAGCTGCAGACATGTACTGAAGGTGAGCTATATTTTATTTCATTAAAATATATTTTTAAAACATACTGTGTAAAAGAATTAGGATTCTCAATAATTTATTATTTACATTAGCAAATTCTGTTTGACTGTTATGCTATAGATAGAAAGTCTGCAGAAGGGAGATGTATCAACTTCTTCAGGACCAAGCAAGCCCTTTTACCAAGAAACAAGTTCAAAATGCATTCCTTCCCATTTTGATCCATCCTAATTCATGTTTGCAAACAGATTGCGAAAAACTCAGTGAAAGGTCACGTTTATGTTGAGCACTCACAGTGAGAGCTGGGATTTCAGAGTGCTTCATGAGAGACACCCCGAGGAGATTTCAACATTGCAACTACTCAGTAGTCAAGAGGCTGCAGGGTCCAATCCTGCTCTTGCTTCCACTGTCCTGCCTCCACTAAAATCCATGGCATTACATGACAATGACGGCTGCTCCCAGCCACACGGGCAGATGTTGAAAAGCTAGACAGGCTCCTTGAGCCAGGCTGGCAGCAGAGAGAATGCTTTTTCTACCGCTGTAGAAACACCGTAGCTTGCCATTCTTTTTCAGTCCGAACACAACATAAATCTCATTACCTTTCTACCCATCCTCTGGGAAGAAATATGCATGAGGAATTCTCTCTCTGATGTAAACAACTGTAAGCACCATTCACATTTGCTAGTCCACATGAAAAAAATCATATCCAAGTGCCTGCCATAGCCCTGACCCTTTTTAGCAGGGCAGCTCAGCTTTCCCATCAGCTTTCCAGATCTCTGAAATCATACAGGTACCCCAAAATCATGCACAGTCCATTGCAATGCCAGCTGCTGTCTGCTTTACTATTCCAGGAAAGAGTAGTTGCTTCTTCAGTAATTCTATAAAATCCCATGATTAAAAGAAGTAAAGCAGTCAACTCGTGTTCTGTTTCCTCTAGGCACTCAATGGTATTCCTGACATCTCATGTAAGGCACCAGTCCTCCGGTAGCTGAGCAAAAAGTGACCCACAAGACCTCCATTAAGCAACTGCAGAGGGAACTGACAAAATTCAGCTGGTTTGCTTGCCTTCTTGCTTACATAGCATAAAAAGAGTGGTGATGCCATCTGGGGAAGTTTCTCGTGGTATCCTAAAAGAGGAAGTCTCAACTTGCACTGCAACCCAAGCAGCGTGGGTGACAGCATACTACAGCACAAGTTTCTAATGGCTGTGCCAGAGTGGCAATTCCCACAGACATAGCAGAGATTTCCTTGAGCTCCAAGAGGCCTCTGTTGTCTTGGTTTCACATAAAATGAGTTTGTTGTCAACAGCAAAGCAGTTACCTCCTTACAAGATGTCTCCATCACACACAACAGAGGGCTTTGTAGTGCACTTGATGTAGCTTCTCTGCTATTGGTCCTGCCTGCACAGCCATATTCACAGAGATGCAACACCGGTGATAGCAGAGCCTATGGACAAAGAGGTCGGCTGGATGCTGGCTGACTGCATCACTAAGCAGCCTTCAGTCCAGAATATCAGTCTCGAATGGGACCAGGTGGTAGTATGTCAGATTGGTGACATAAGCTGTTGGATCATCACTGTCTTCTAGCTCTGAGGTAAAGTCACTAACACTTTCGAACCTAAGGAGAAATAAATAAATAAAAAACATGAACACTGAATGGCATTAAGTCATTAATGTTCATTCAGAAAATCAAAGTCAAAGGAGTTGGAAGAAGGGTACTGAGGGAAAGGGAGAAGTCTAGGTTATCTGAAGACTGACGCCTGGAAATTTTGAGAAAAGACATTTGCAAGGGGACTACTTGGGAAAAGGGCTGCAGGCAGGAATGCTGCATAGCAGCTGGTACTACATGTTAATATTCTGAGTAAATGAAACGTGGACTTGTTTCACACCAGAGCAGTGTTGCAGTAGAAGTGCTTCTAATGCTGGTTTGCAGCTTCAGCTTTGTGAAGCTCAGCTTGCAAGACAAAGTTCTAGAGTCTTAACTCTTTCTCCAAAGCTTCAGCTTTCACTCCGTCTTTTGGCAGCCTGACATGCGAATTCATACTAGAAGTTGTCAATTAAGATTCATGCAGATCAACTGTGAATCATGAAGCTATAGTTTCTCTGACATCAGCCTACCTGTCCAAGTTAGGACACACCTGCAATGGCATCTACTGTCACTTTCATAAATTAAGGCTCAACCTTTCTAGAGAGAGTTGAGAAGTAAATGGAAAACATTGCTCTGCATGGCCTTAAACAGAAAGCCTGCTTCTTTATAATCTACGGAAACAAATAAGATGAAGATTTTGCTTTCAGTAAAACAGGATGACTATTCCCACTTAAAACTGTGCTGAAACACAGCTGCAAAGCATACTAGGAGAGCAAGTTTTCTTCTCTTCAGATAGCAAGTCTTCAGTAAAAGGGACTTTTGTGACTCCTTTCTGGTATTACACTGACTCTTCACAGCACTTGTTATTATAATACCTGAACTTCATATCTCACTGTTAACACTGCATTTAAGATAAGCCAGATTAAAAACATTATTAATTTGTTTTCAGCCCCCAGGGCTCCCTTCCTACTAACAAAGGAATAATTTCCTGGGACAGCGTTTCTTGTCTAGCAATTCTGGATACCGCTACAATGAGATTTTTATGAGTCCAGAATAGTTTTTTCTGTGGAATGGGAAAATCTTCCCGGAAAGTACTCAGAGCTGGTCCCATCTGCACCTCCTCCTTCCCACACCCATGTGTATATGAATAAGCCACAGGCCAATGAGAACCACAATGCACACAAGCAAATCATCTTGTTACCCCTGACTTTCAAATCTACTAGTGAGGAAGGGAAGAAGCAGCAAGTGAGCCCTGGAAGACTGAATCATGCAGCTGAGGTACACATCCTTCCATTTTGTTCTCACAGTGTGTAGCAACAACACAAAACGACTCAGTTCCCACATAAAAGTGGAAAGGAAACTGCCACTGTTTCCGGTCTGAACTTGACTCTCACCCTTTCACTTCACAGGTAGTGAAGTGTCTTCTCTGGGTTTGGTTTTTGTATGAGGTCAAATGTAAAATGTATGAGGTCAAATAGGAAACAATTATTACAGTTTCCTTCCTCCAGAGCCTCGCTGTCCTCCCAGTGGCACAAGATTCAGGTTTTGACAAGCAGAGACTATCCAAATATAGAGAGATTCACACATTTACTTTCACTTGCTTTGGTATTTTTCTTCCCACTTCCTAACTCCTGTGTTAAAACCTGAACTTCTGCAAGGATTACCTATGGTCTCATGCCTGTTCTCAACCAGAAAGCACCAACTTGTTAAACCTTCCTCACTTACACCATTCCTGTTCCAAGGAGGCTTAAATTTTTGGAGTAAGAAGGCATCTTACATCTTCCTAGATAGCCTAGCAGTGAAAGGCAGTCACTGCAGGCCAAGGGTTAAATCTCAGCTCAGTTCAAGCAAAGGACTTGAAGAACTGTGAGATTTCTTTTTCTCACACTCTCTCTTTAATATTTTGACGGAAATGGCATTCATTCTGCACCTCTTTTTTAACTATGAGGGTCACAACGTTTTTGAGCAGAAACGCATTGATTTTCTCCTGCAGTGCTGTTGCTATGCTCTTTACTTACAATGAAACAGAAATGAGGCTAAACTTTGAATGTTTATTACACTCATTCCTCTACAGCCCCCAGGCTATTTGCCTGCCTGCATGTGTGGGAACACGTGCGGAAGGGAGTTGACTTGGTATCATCTTGCAAATACTTCACAGGTCACGTTGTGCTGTCTTAAGGACTGCTAGTGATCCAGAAACAACAGATTATGCTTATCAGTGAGGCAGACAGAAGAAAGCAGAAGAGGAGTCAAGAAAGTTATTCAGATTCTGCTCTCTTTCTCTTGTCAATTGTATAAAAGCAGATTATAATAACAGGAAGGGCACACAGATTCTGTGGTTCTTCAGCCTCACTGATCGGGTACTACAAGTGGCATGTGAGGTACAAAGCAGCTGCATTCACATGCTGTGGTTACTCAGAAAGCCTTCCTTGCCACCAAAAAGGAAGCATGGTCACAGAGTCTGCAAAGCACTGCTCTAGATTGCTCAAATGAAACCAAACCAAATAAACCAGGACTGTCTACTACAGCTAGAGGCTGTATAGGACACCCAACAGTCAAAATGCTTGTGTACTGCTTCAAATAGGTCTTTTTTGCAAAATGAACTTTGCAAACTACTATGGACAGTCAGATTCCTAAATGCCTAAACCCTTGCTACTTTTTCCCCAAAGTACCCTGACAGATGCTTCTTGTGCTGTAAGATAACCTTCCTTATCCTTTTAATCCCTGTTAATGCATTTCAGTTGTTGCTCTTATTCACCAGGAAGAAGAGGGAAGCAAGGTACACAGAAGCTAATGCTTGGACAGGTTACTCTTTGCCAGGTAAAAAACTGTCTGGATTGCCAGGCCAAAAGAGCTACGATGAATGGAGTTTAATCCAGTTGGAGGCTGGTCACAAGTGGTCTTCCCCAGGGCTCAATACTGGGGCCAGTTCTGTTTAATACCTCTATCTATGATTTGGCCAAGGGGATCAAGTGCACCCTTAGTAAGTTTGCAGACACTATCAAGTTAGGCAGGAGTGTTCATCTGCTTGACTGTAGGAAAGTTCTATGGAGGGATCTAGATAGGCTGGATCAATGGCACAACTTAAGGCCATTTCTTCTCATTCTGTCACCTGTTACTTGGGAGATGAGAGCAGCACCCACCTCACTACAACCTTCTTTCAGGTAGTTGTAGAGAGCAATAAGGTCTCCCCTGAGCCTTTTCTTCTCCAGACTAAACAACCCCAGTTCCCTCAGCTGTTCCTCATAAGACTTGTGCTCCAGACCCTTCACCAGATTCACTGGTAGAAACCCTCTTCTCTGGATCCCCTCCAGCACCTCAATGTCTTTCTTGTAATGAGGGGCACAGAACTGAATACAGTATTCAAGGTGTGGCCTCACCAGTGCCCAGTACAGGGGGACGATCACTGCCCTGGCCCTGCTGGCTATGCTATTTCTGGTACAGGACAGGATGCTCTTGGCCTTCTTGGCTGCCTGGGCACAAGCTGGCTCATGCTCTTCGGCCGTCAATCAGCACTCCCAGGTCCTATTCCACTGAGCAGCTTTCCAGCCACTCTTCTCCAAGACTGTAGCATTGCATGGGGTTGTTGTGGCCCAAATGCAGGACCCGGCACTTTGCCTTGTTGAACCTCTTACCACTGGCCACAGCCCATTGGCCACAGGCCATCCAGCCTGTCTAGATCTCTCTGCAGAGCCTTCCTATCCCTCAGCAGATCAATGCTCCCACCCAAGTTGGTGTCATCTGTGAATTTACTAAGGGTGCACACAATCCCCTCATCCAGATCATCAATGAAGATATTAAACAACACCAGCCCTAATACCAAGCCCTGAGGACATCACTAGTGGCCAGTCACCAAACAGATGTGACACCATTTACCAGCACTTTTTGGGTTCTGCCATCCAACCAGTAATTTACCACACATGAAAGGACTATTTATACCCCATGGATGTTGAGCACACTGGGTTCACCATATTTTTCCAACAGTACAGTGTACTGCCAACTAAAATTAGAGAGAAAATGAAGGAAGAAGAAAGCAACTACTTCAGAACAAGAGTAAGCAATTTCAGTTGCAAAAATGTTATAGTTTCTTTTGCAAGAAGTATGAGACTTTTCAGCTGGTGGATCACTGGGTAGGTAGCACTGCAGACTAGAACAGCTAAGCAGTGCAGCAGAACATCGGGGAACGAATACTACCTGTTGGAACTTCAAGTGCTTCCCCCAAAAATACAGATTTGCTTTGCAAAATGTCTGATTCAAGTACATCAGCAGACAAAACATAGAAGTCACACAGCATTCAATGCTGATGAAAGGAAAAGGTCCCCATCTGAAGATATACAAGTTCACTAGGAATCGACTCATTTCAGAATAGAAGACACCAACCCTGTAAATCTAATTTTACGTAGACCAAAAAGGAACTGCATGAGATCTTAAAAGATTTTAAAGCTTCGTTTCTAGTCTACTAACCTACATCAAAAGTAACAGCATAGAAAACTTCTGCTTTTTAAAAAGTTCAGTTTTTACAGAACAGCTGTGCTACACAAATGCTATTATCTCCTAGCTATTACCTCAACGACACAGTACAGCTACAGGATGGGCAAATTTAGGGAACCATGTAAAATAGGCATTTAAAACTTATTAACTTCTTTACTCTTGATTTAACTTCCTTCAGGGAAGAAAAAATACAAATGCACAAAGCCAGGCTGTTTTCCTAGATTATTTCTTCCACTGCAGTTCCTGGGAAACCATGCCTACCACACAGTTTTTAGATTAGTATTTTCTGCCCTTAATAGTCTCTGACTTCAACGGGGTGACAGTTTCAGATAATGACAGGTTTTGATTCAGACCAGTAAGGTTTGCTTGGGCTGCAGCAACTTTAATTTTCAGACACTGGCCTTACAGAATTACCTCCAGTGTGTTGCTTCAGCCTCATTAATACAAGCTCGTAATCCTAGATGCTGTTAGCAAGGTCAAGGTTCAAAACACTAAGTGCTAAATTAATAGAAAGACTTCAAGAAATTACGCTGGAGCCAGAGATACACCCCAACCCCTGACAAAATCTTGTCAAGCTATAAACCTTTCCACAGATTGGCAATAGTCACATTTCAGTTGTGGCAAGACAAAGCACAGCATTCAAAGATAAAGCCCCCATAAGGCTTTTAGTATTCTGTTTCCATCATTTTGACTGCTCTAATGAAAAAGTAGGTCAGTGTTTCTCATTAAAAATATTTAAATGCTTCACAACCTGAAGCTTATTGAAATATCAATCACCTGCTATGACAGAAATCTGTAGGAGCAGACTCCCATCAATACACATCTGTCAACACAGTCATTAACTTACAACCTACATAAAAGCCCTCCTGGTTACAGGTCTCTGACCCCAGAATACCTACATGCATTAGGAGGCAGAATATACAAATAAGACTAGTCTAACTTCCCCCTGCCATAATGAAATACACATGCTTTACCAAGTCTCTCCATCACAGCACCTGAGCAGCTGCTGAGCTTCCTTTGATTACGTTCAGGGATGTGTGTCCCTCTTCAGCATGGTGTTTTGCTTCCCAAATAAAGCAAACTTTTTGTCTTAGGATATTCCATTTGTAAGGATGTTTGTCAGGAGCTCAATGAGAGAAAGAAAAAACTCCTCTGTTCTCACCTGGCAGGACACCTATGCCAGTCACAGCTGTTTTTCATACACAGAGGACTGAGCTCCTTGGTGTCAATCGTTCTCACCAGCAGCCACCATATCCATTTTAACAGAAAGAGCTGTGAAGCCTTAGCAATCAGGCTCAGTAATATTTAACCAGTCAGAATGACAGCTGTACCTGTCTTACTGCTAAACAGAAGATAACATTTTGCTGGGGGGGAGGGTCGTGGGGAGAAAAGGTTCAGTTTATCTGAAGCTGACAGCATTACTGATGCACAAACCCCACTTACAAGTGTTCTGCTGAATCTACATCCAGGTGCTTCTCTTTTCCATTGGGTATACTGTGGTCAATGACTATTGTTTCAGTGTTGGCTAAACAAAATCCATTTGATCGCATGATTTCTGCCAGGAGAAGAAAGGAAACAAGATGATAATAGTAAAAAAAAAAAACAAAACAAAAAACACAACCCTGGAAAACAACTGCATATCATATGTAATTGACATGGTTAGAAACTGAGATGTGTGTGTGTGTGTGACATTGAAGATCTGCACATGAAAGCAGGAATAAACAGAGTTGGTTTCACAGCTGCTTACATCTGCAAGCTGCCAGTGCTTAAGCAATTTTATGTAAATAATCAGTTTGAGGCCCAGTTTCAGCTGTTATTGCCAGTGGCAAAATTCCCATCACCCTTAGCAGAATGGCAGCCCATCCATACATTTCAACCTGCCACTACCAAAACATAATTGTATGGACAGTCCCAGGCTTAAGCCAATTAAGCAAAAATCAAAAAGAAGGAAAAAGGAAATAAAAAGTGATCTTCCAAGTTAATTCAACCACCATCATGTAAAGCAATACCATCTTCTATACTGCCTTCAACTCTTCTTATTTGTTTCTCATTGTGTAAGAAGTCTTCAATCAAGAATAGCTAAAACTTGCACTTAATTCCACTGACTTATTACCATCGGGAGAGTTTATAATTAAAGAATAGTATTTGATGTGAATGAGAAGTCAATCCACATTTATGCTAGATGGAAAGGCAAACTAAGCAAGCCACAAGGATTTATTTTGCTCACACAACCTTAGATGAAGCTGGGGCCACCACAAAATGAACATACATCTCTACAGAAATCAGCACTGACTTAAGTAAGTGTCTCAAGGCATGAGAACCCTGTGTTATAGCCTTGTTATCAGCACAAAGAAAAGGAAATTACTCTGTGACAAAAAATATGATAGACACAAGACACATACAGGGAATCCTCAAACAAATTTCAACTGTAAGTAATGAGTTCAAGTAATGAGCAGGAGATAAGACAGAAAGAAGAAGGGGGGGTTATCTTTTCAAATGTACATTACATGTTCTTAAATTAAAGTAAAATCAGAACTCACTTCAATGTGTTTCTTGAGAAAGTCATCTTTGACTTACAGTCTGTATTTTACTGGGACTCACTTTAGCAGACTATGTTTAGGGGTGGTAAGAACACTAAATCCCACCAGAATCACTCTTCACCCATAACTCATTTTAAACCAATACCGTACTGCAGAATAAGACTTGTACTATCAATTCAAATTCAGTTTTCCACCTAAGAGGGTGGCCCTTTCTTCCCCATTACCTACCATCCTAAGCAGTACCACGTGCGGGACAGTTTGGGTTTTCTTCAGAAAACCCAAGACCTTTTTGGCTGCTTTTCTAAGTCTGCAAGCCACGCAGGAAGCTGCACTCTAACATGAACGCCAGTGTTTCCCTAGCGTCCTCGACATCACCTAAGAGTTACAGCATTTCACTGCTGAGTCAACGGCTTCAGATGCTAACATCTACCGCCATCTACTGACGGCGCTTGCAGACACCGAAACCATTTCCAGCGCGCAACATGCAGGCCGGTCAAGTACGAATTATCATCAAATTTCTGCCTGTGTTCTTTGCAGCAATAGCTTAAATGATAAAACTAATTACCAAAAGATGCTTTTGGATAGCTGCATAGGTAGGAAAATCTTCAATTAATTAATTATGACTCATTTCTACCAAAATTAATTCAGAATTAAAACAAAACATGTAATTATTCAGCTAAAATGGTTTACACAGCTCCTCTATATACAGGCTTGCAGGTCTGTTCCCTTTGCTGCCAGGTTCTGTCCATCAGCCAGGTACCCTTGTTCTCATTTAGATTAGATACTAGGAAAGAATTCTTCACTATGAGGGTGGTCAGGCACTGGCACAGGTTGCCCTGCGAAGCTGTGGCTGCCTCATCCCTGGCAGTGTTTAAGGCCAGGTTGGATGGGGCTTTGAGCAAGGGAGGTGTCCCTACCCATGGCAGGGGGTTGGAACTAGATGAGCTTTAAGGCACCTTACCAAACTGTTCTATGAGTCTATGATACACTTTGACCATCTTTTCTCTGTTGTACCCATCATATGACATATTCAGTCACACAGACACAGAGTACATGTGCCCTAAGGGGTACACACCCTCCCCAAAATCGTATTAAACCCTTCCAAACAGCAAAAAGCCCTGAGCCAGAACGATGCTGCAATTCCAAATACATGTAATGTTATTTTCTAACCAATGTAATTCCAAAAACATTTATTCTTGATATTTACCTGTTAGAAAACAAATAAACCCTGCAAGGTGCCACTGACAGCAGCCACCCTTTGAAATATTTTTACAGCATATAATTTGGGAATCTTTAATTTCATAATGGGCAGGTGCTAGAACCCACTTTGCAGCTCCAGTCTTACAGAGTAGCAACATATTTCAGACAAAACCAATGAATATGATCTTCAGGGTCAGAGCTAAGAGCACATCTTGGTGTTCAGGAGCAAAACAAGTAACCACATTCACCCTTTGGGAGATGACTAATGTCAGGAACACACACATGAGGAATTTTACCTGAGGTTTCCACATTAATTTAGGGCAACATCCAAACCTCCCAAGCCACAGACGGGGCATGAGGCACACATGTCAGCTCCTGTCTCTTGTTCCGGGAAGCCAGACCTGTATCACCCCACTTTGCAGTACAGCCCTGGGAACTCTTCTTTACAATCCCTGTGATGCACTGTAGCTTGGGCTCAGGATGGCCCTACAAGAAGACACTGGCCCAGACAGGCTGGCAAGACCACACTTCTCACTGAGGCTCTATATTATGCAGTACACTTCTAAGGAGTCACTGGTGGGCTTGTAAACCATTTGTCATTTAATTTAAAGAGTATTTATTTAATGGAGGACTAGTTCACTTAGAACTAGAGCTTGGGGTCAATTACAACATGTCTTCCCCGTGTATAAGACCAACCGTTCTGGACACACTGTTTATGTCTTTAGCATGTTGACACCCTGATTGGCCGTTACTGATACACTGTTAGTACCTAAGAAAATGGATACTAGTTTTATGCTAAACACTTTATGCACTTTAGAGGACAATGTAGTGTTTCACTTTATTTCTCTCTCTGAAATAAGCTCTTTCGACGACACAAAACCAGCAGTTGCCATTAGGCTCAAACAAAATGTTTCAGCATAGAAACAGAAAACCAAGCATGCCTAAAGCTCACAAACTTTTAAACCATGGTCAGTAGCAGATGAAGAAGGAAAAAAATGAAAGAATACGCAAGGATAGAGTAATACTGCTCTCCATTTCACCCACTAGCAATCTGTGGTTTAGAAACTTTCTATGCCTCCACCTGTGACAAGTCGCAATGTACTTTTCCTCCACTTGCTTGTCTAACTCCTTTTTGAAGTCATTCATGCTTTCAGTTCCACCATATGCTATGACAATGAGTTCCACTCCTCAACTGTGTTCCATATGGAAACAAAACAACATTATAACCTTTCTTTCTTCTGTTTAAAGCCTGTTGTCTGTCAACATTATTGGAGAACCTATAGCTCTTGTTTCATGGGAAGTACAGGCTAATTGACCTCCTTCTATTCACAGCTTTGTAGACTTCCATCATATCCCCACTCTGTCATCTCTTCTCAAAGTTGAAGTGCCCTTCCTTGTTTAACCTTTTTCTTAGAGAAGCTGTTAAATGATTTGAATCCTTGTCCTTTATTTGCATGCTTTTAAATTCTTTAGTATCCTTTTTGAGATGGAGAAAAGAGAATTGCGCACGCTGCATTCAAGATGGGGTTGTGCTCCTTTCCTAATGATACCAAGTATTCTCACTGCTGGTTTTGCTCATCACTTGGCGCTGAGCTTACATTTTCACTGAACTGTATCAATAGCCTCAAAATTTCTTTCCAAGGTGGTAACAGCACTATCATACATGATGACAGTGAGGACTGCATTTTCCTCACATCCACTTCTTTGCCTTAATCAGCCTTCGATTTCACCTGCCATTTTATTGCCTGAATGCATGTTGCATAGTACATCATGTCTAATTTTATGTTCTATATCATAACGCAAAGTAACTTTGGAATTGCTGATGGAGAAAACATAAAGGGAAGAAAAAATAATTTTCATTCTGTAATTCTTGTGTAGACCGTAGGAAGCTAAGAACTCTTACCTGATATTTTAACTGGACTTTGAAAGCTTGGCTGAATTTTATGGACGTTGTCATTTTTTAGAACTTGGTCCAAAGGAGATCTCTCAAAGAATGTGAGGACAACTTCAGATCTTGAATACTTAAAAGACAAAAAGAAACAGACACCCATTTTTTGCCAGTAGTTTGTTTTGTCCTCTTTTCTCTTTCTACCCTTTCTCAGTACAAAAGGAAGACTTATTACAAGCAATAGCTTGGGGACATCATCACAGAGTTCTGGCACTCGCCACTTCTTCAAGATACTCAATAACCTGCTGCTTTTTTCCAGAGTTTGGCAAAGCCCATCACTTTCTATCTGCATGAAAGTGCACATCACCATGAAGGAGGAGTCAAGCTGGGCTAAATGTGGAACTTGGCTTACTCACCTTCCATGGCATGTTTATAATAGTCTTCAAAAGCTTTTCCACCTCATTAAGTCTGGCTTCTATATCATGGGCTTCTTTTATTGTGATGAGCCCTAGAAACAAAGTAGAGAGATTATGAGTGCAGACAAAAGCACACTTCCATGTGTACACACATTTCAGCAGCCAGAAGCAGCCACTCATGAAGGTGTGGAACAACCTCAAATATCATGCCTCCTGGAAATGTCTTTTAACCCACACTGATGACAAAGCATGTACCCCAAACAGAGATGGGTGTAGTTACAAGCAGAGTTGCAAGCCTAAAAACAGATTCAGTTGTTTATGATCATATTTAAGAGTTGCAAGACAAGCAGAAGTAGAACCACCTACGCCCTCACCCACAGTTTCACTACACAGCATTCCCAGCAGTGATAATCAAACAGCCTGTTTTCTGCTTCCAAATACCATGATTCATCCTTTTTCCTGTCAATACACAGCAAAAGAACCCAAGAAAGAACCCAAACACCACAATCCACAGATAAGAGGAAAAAACTAAACACTAGCTAAACAAAAGGCTTTGAGGGCAGCCTTTTATTTCTCTGCATGTAAGGTGCAGTGAGCAGCCCAAAGAAGATTTCTCAGTATCACGTTCTTCAAGTGCAAAACAACTTTGTGTGTGTGTGTGTATATATATATATGCACTAATCACTGAATTATCACAGTGCTGCAGAAGGGATTAAAGTGGAAATGTGCTGTCCAGTGTCCAGAATGATACATTACAATGTTTCTAATTTTGAATTGCCCAGCGTGGGATCTTCAACTGTAATACCACATTTCATATGTATAACGTGCAGGGCACCTGTAAGTTCCCCTTGCTCTAGCAGGCTCAGGGAAATACAGCATAGGTTATATGAATGTACAGGTTGTATGAATGTACCCCAAAATCCCCCATCCCCCTTGCAGCCTTTTTATTTCTGATCTTTGTAACCTACTTTTTCTAACCCAGTCATCATTTCACCTCCACACTCATGCATGTTTTCTAAGGAGCAGGATACACAGATGAAAATGAAATACCTAAGAGATTATTAAACTCAACAAGCTCCACTGGTAAACCAAACCAAGCCAAAATCAAAACCAAAAAAAAAACCCCATAAAAACCCTAAAACAAACAAAAAGCAAAAAGCTGGAGCAGAAAAAGATCCAATAAATCAAAACTACCAAAACTAAAAATCTGCAAAGCAGCCTGTGAGAATCACTTGTGTGTATCAGTTCAAGATACTAAACTTGTGTTAAACTAAGTGCATCTCTATCTCCCTACTGAAAAGATAAACATACAGAAAGAACAATCAAACATGCAGTGTAGGGATAACATCCACGAACAGTTTCAGTCTGCACCAGTCCTTGTTGCTGGTTACCGACAAGATACAATCCCATGCAAACTTTCCAGATGAAAGTGTGACTTTGAAGCTGTCAGCTCTCCTCCAATTACAGTTTTAAATAAAATGGGGATTGTTTCTGGAGCAACCAGGTTTACCTGATGGTTGTCCCACAAAAGGAGCCTGGTTGCACAAGCCCTTCTATTGCTTGACAGTCCTTTATTTTCCTGGTTTTGCCAGCACATACAACCGCACCCTGGTACAGCTCACTCCCTCTTGACATGAAGCAGAGCATACCAGCAGGCATATAAGCTGTGTATCCTGCTTTGACCAGTGTACATGAGAGTCAGGTAGCTTTGCATGGAAATTCTCTGAAAGGCTGGAAACATGAATTAACTCATCTGCATGGGTCCCCAGACTGTGTATTAGCTGGGTTGTGCTTGACATTACAGACCTCAATTGCAGACCAGCACCCTTCATTTTCCTAACTGCTGGGTGTGAGCAGGCCTGGGTGGATCTGCTTTGGCCCCTCCACAAACATGTTCCCATCCCACATTTGAACAAAGTTCAAACCTTTCAAAAAAGGTGTTTTCATCTTCCCTAAAAAAAAGAGCTGCCAACAGCCCCACTGCTCAGACACCCACCTGTGATGTTGGAAATTAGAAACACGCTGTCACCCTGCAATAGCCCACATCAGAGAAAACAGATCTAGCCACCCCGGTGCCAGCTGCCATGGGGTGCCTCCACTTCTCCTGCTAGTCCTGATCCTGTCTGCATATATACTGACACAGCAGAGCAGAGACTGCCCGACTGCAGCTCTCACCTTGCAGGAAACACCTCATTGCTGACCCACCCAGGATTCAGCATTCAACCGCTTTCTCTTGAATATGCCTTCCACCTCAGACCCTTTCCCAAATAAGCATTTACTGTTGAAACTAGGAAGAGGGATACTTTCAAACAAATGAAGACATTCAGATCAGAGCGGGGGGTGGGGGGGGTGGGGGGGGTGGGAGGGTAAGAACTAAAAAATACCTCACCAACAACACTGAATATTCATCTGAGGAAAACCAGCCAAGCAGTTAGGATTTTCTCTCATTAGTAATCAGAGAGAGCATCTGCAGCTCCACACTGCCTTTTTATGCTGCAGCAAGAAAAGTCCAACAAGGCCGTCAGCCTGTCACACTGTCACAGATCACCCAGTGGGAGGTTTTACAGCTTCTGGCATTCACCAGGAATCTCCACCCCTGGTATATTCCTCCTTCCAGCTCTTGGAAAGGCACCAGCCATGCAAACCCACGCTCTGACTTGGAAACTGGCACAGATGACTTGTAACATCTGACACTGTTTCTTACTGCAGCTTTTAGTAATTTCAAAACCGAAAGGCAGACAGCGTAGGATGGACAGTAAATGATACAGCTTCCTATATATGTGCTTAATGATTACAGATGCACAGCTTTGGGATCTAAAGCTGCTGACCTTACATGAATTCCCTGTACAGGGAATTCAGTTTGGCTGGGCTAAAGCCTTTCTTTTCATACATCCACAGTCCAAATACACAGTAACTGCTTGAATGTGTGTATATATATATATTGAACCCTGTCATTTCTTCTGCAATAGCCACAAAGTTTATAAGGCCCTCATTTATCTTAAGTCTCTGTTTTTAAGAGTTAACAGATGGCCTTGTGGTTTTCAGTTAGTCTTAGTCTGTGATCCTACAGCCCAAGGGATTGCTCACAACCCTACAGCCACGTTAACTGGAGCAAGGCACTGCCTACCCAAGCAGCCAGGAAGAGCAGAGGACCCTGACTCTCCTCTTGATCCCTTTCAGCACCCCCTAACTGGCTGCTGTCACCCACCACAGCACAGACACGCATTAGGAACACTGTGGGTTTGCAAGGTGAAGTCTCTGGTGGCAGCACTGCTTTAACAGGCTTTCACCCTCCCTTGCAACTCATTTCCTCTCCCACACCGCAACACAGGGCTGCCTCTGTTTTGGCATCACAATTAGCTGAGCAGTGGGGAATGCCTTGAACTGCTCTTGTCAAAGGCTTCACTTCAGGAAACCCCAGCCTTTGCAGAAGTAAGAGACTACAGGCTAGGGTGCCCCATTCAAACTCCTCTCTCACCCAGGCACTATACTGAGTTTGAGCAGGAAACAGGACTTGTACAAAGAAGCTCATGGAAGTGCAACCAAGATTTCCAGCTCTATTCTTCACTTTGTGGGGTTTCACCCCTGCCTGTTTTCTTCTCCGTGTTCAGAAGCTTTAATGAGGCAGAGAAAGGAAAAAACAAAAGTCAGAGACTGGTGTAGAATCTCCAGATGCTGGAAACACATGAGCAAACAGACACACACACACGTGCCAGCTGACTCTGCAGACAGAGCCCAGCACCTCCACCATCCATTAACCCTGACACAAACACACGGCAAGCTGGATGCATCTGGAGTGCACAGGACTCACTGGCCACGTATGCAGCATCTGTACAACATCTGTACAGCATCTGTACAGCACCATCTGTACATCAAAACATGTCTTGAGGCTGTTGTCTCTGCCCACAGACTATAAATATGTGCCTGCCTTTCCATCTGGATCTTTTAGACCCCAAGAACCCTTATTCAGACAGTTTACTATAAAACAAAAATAAGACACCAGTAAAGCAACCAGTAGCCTGGAACTGGCTGTGCTTTATTCCACTCGTTCAGCCATGCCACAGAGCTGAGCTTAGAGCTGGGAAATCTCCTAGTGAGGTCATGGCAAAAGGCTGCTCTCATGCCTTTTCCTCTGCTCTGGCCCCTGTATGACTGCTAATGGAAAACATGCACAAATTCCTCCCAGGAAAACTGCTCTCTGTTTTGTTACCCATACTGTGCTTGGACAATTATTATTTCAAGTGATTTAAATGATATAAACACCTATGCCTATAGGGCTTGAGGTAAACTGAAGTCCCACTGACTCCATTTTTACCACAAACTCTGTTGCCAAATATCACAAACCTCTAAGATTTCATTACCCTGTGCACAAGGGAGCCCACATGCTGGGTGATAGGAAGGATGATACAGGCACACCACCTAACCCAGGGTGGCACTCACCTGTACTTGGAAAATATGCTTTCAGCAGGGCTCTGTTGTGTGCACAACCACCCTAGTCAGTGACCTAATTCAATCCCTTTGCCCTCTTCTCTGCCCCCTTCCAGACAACGAGTCCCAGGATTTGCCCACAGTTTGAGACCAAGCAACTTTACACATAGCAACATGTCTCTGGAAAAACACTGCCCATGCAGCACCAGAGTCCTGCAGCATCCTTCCTGCTCTGGGACCCTGGTGCCGGAGCAGCTGCAGGAGGCTGAGAGCAGGCCAGCAGCTGTGTACCTGGCACACTGGCTCACAGCGTGGGAGAGGGGCCCAGAGCTGCAAATGACAGGAAATGAGCTTAGCAGAGGAGGAGAAGGAGCTGGGAGCCAATTCCTGATGTCAGCACAAAAGCCATGATAGGCCTGTCCTATTCCTGCCATGCGAGCCACCAAATCTGCAACTAATGACATTTTGACAACTGCAGGTAACATGCTGCATGCTTCTACCAAACAACAGCAATCATCACAGCATGTGCTCCTTGGCTTGTAATGAAATCACAATGCAGCCTTGACAGCCAGTGTCCACAATGAACACCTTCCTTGGAATGAACTCAATCCTCTAGTGCCTCCAAGGAAGAGTAAGTTCATGCCTAGGTCAAGTATGTCTCATA